TCCTCCTATAAGGACAGCACTCCTGGATTAGGGACCCCCTAGTGGCCTCATTTCATCACTTGTTAAAGGGCCTGTCCCTAAATGCATCCTTCAGTATCTCAGGGGGATTGTGCTGGGCCTGGCCCACACTAAAATCTGCAGATGCCCAAGTCACTTATATCAATGGCATAGTACTTTCGTATGTCGTGCAAACCTCTTCCTGTCTATTTTAGGTCATCTGTAGATTTTTTTAAATTTTTTTTTAGTGTCAGAGATTGAACCCAGGGACTCTTAGCCATGGGACCATCCCCAGCCCTTTTATTTTTAGTTTTGAGACAGGGTCTTGCCAAGTTGCTTGGGGCCTCATTAATTTGCTAAGACTGGCTTTGAACTTGGCCATCCTCCTACCTCAGCCTTCCAGATTGCCGGGATTGCAGGCCTGTGCCACCACACCCAACTCATCACTTTTTAAAAATGATTTTATTTTGGTAATTAATTCATTTTCTTGTGGTAGAGGGGATCAAATCCAGGCTTGTTCCACCTCTGAGCTACATTCCCACCCTTTTTAAATTTTTTATTCTGAAACAGGGTCTCACCAAGTTGCCAAGGCTGACCTTGAACTTGTGATCCTCCGGCCTTAGCCTCTGGAGAGGCTGGGACTACAGGCATGGGTCTCTGCACCTGGTTCTGGATGACTTATAATCCCTAATGCAATGTAAATGTTGTGTAAATAGTTGTTAGACTTATTATTTAGTGAATAACGTCCATATGTGTCCAATACAAGCACAATTTTTCCCCAAATATTTTTAATCCACAGTTGATGTGAATTGGTAGATGGGGCCCTGCAGATTGAGGGCCAGCTCTGCTGTCAGGCTGAGGTACTTGGGGTTAAGCTTTGATATATGAGTGGGAGTGAGGGGGGCACAGTTAGGCCCATGACACGTGGGCAGCAATCTTAGGGCATCGAGGAGAAGTCACTGCTGGGAGCTGGCAGAGTGGCCCACATCTGTGGCCCCAGGTACTCAGGAGGTGGGAGTCCAGGAGTTAAAAGCCAGCCTAGGTGACACAGCAAGACCCCATCTCAAAAAAATAAAAATAAGAACCAGTGGCCTTTCGAGAGCTTCACAGTTAGCACCTGAGCAGCTGCTCCCTCCTGCTTCCTTGAAGGCCCCAGCGTGACCTCTCTCAGAGATCCTGCTGCCTCCAGGAGACTCCTGTGCCTGAGACCCAGAGGCACCTGGGGCTCTCCTGCTGCGGCCATCCCGCTCTGATACCAGATGGGGAGCTGAAGGCTGGGCAGCCTGTGTCTCCGCCCCAGCTTGGGAGCCTCTTCTGGCTCCTCCTGCCCTCATCTTGCTGCCCCCCCCCCCCCACGCATGGCTCCAAACGCAACTCTCCTCCTGCTTCTCCCTGTTGAAAAGCTCGGGAGGCTCCGGGCTTCCTGAAGGAAGAAACCTGAACCCTTTTCTGTGCCACCTGAGAACTCTGTGGCGCAAGCCCTGCATTTCTGTCCCCTGGTTTCTGACCCTTTCGTGCCACACACCTCCCTGCAGTCAGGCCAGGCTCATGCAGTAGCTGGAAAACCCTGGACTCTGGGCCTCCGAGCCTTGGCCTGGCTGTGCCCTCTGCCCAGAGTCCCCTTCCCACGACAGCTGTCAGCACCCCTGTCTCAGACCCCATCAGAGTGCCGCCCCCCTCTGAGACTGTCCTTGCTCTCTGCAGGCCCAGCTGAGCCCCTTCCTTCAGGCCCCAGAGTGTCACCTCAATGCCTCGCAGAGTCCTGAACACAGTCTGCAAAACTCAGCGTGCCCCGGGACCTTCTGTAAGGAAGGAGAGAGTGCAGTCCCCAGGAACTGCTCCTTGGGCCTGGCACACTCTAGCCCTGTCCCCATCACAGCACACAGCTCTGGCCCGAGGCTGATGCGCCCTCCTCCTGAGTGGTCTTCATCTTGGTCTTAACTGTGCTGCTTCTGAAACCTCCACTTCTTTTTTCTGGGTCAGCCTTCCATTTTTCTGTTGTGCACACATTTTTATAAAATAAGAGCCAGATGCAACAGGGAGGGGTGTTTTGATGTGTGAAAAAGAATAAGGGGGACTGGGGGTATAGTCCGGTGGTAGGGCACACGCTCAGCATGCCTGAGGCCTGGGCGCCATCGCTAGCACTGCACACACGCACAAAAGGAACCCTATCACTGTTCCTGTGTTCTCTAAAAGCCTAGGTAAGTGCTGGAGTGCAGAGCCTGGCTCTTCTATGAGGCCCTGGGGTGCCTCCAAAGAGTGCCGTTTGCTGACCCTCCCAAAACACCGGTCACTGCAGGACGGAAGGCAGCACCCCCAGGCCCTCTGGGGTCATTCTCGGGCTTCAGCTGCGTCTTCACAGGCCTTTCCCATGGGCCCAGAGCACCCTAAGGACAGGACCTGTGCTCATCCTTTCTTATTTTTCTTTTCATCTTTGTGTCCCTGGCACCTAATAGGAGAATTGGCCTCCTCTCTATCCTCCTTTTGGGGCCCTCCCCAACTAGGGTGACGTCTGTCTGTCATTAAAGAAGGCATCCAAGGCTGGGAGTGGGGGCACACGCCTGTAATCCCAGTGGCTAGGGAGGCTGAGACAGAGGGGATCTTCGTCTAAATAAAATACAAAATAGGGCTGGGGATGTGGCTTGGTGGCCCAGTGCCCCTGAGTTCAATCCCCAGTAGCCTCCCCACCCCCCAAAAAAAAAAGGAAGGCGACCTCGTGCTCACGCAGCACTTCACAGGCACTTCGCCTGTGACAGCCACTTCTCCAACTGTCCTGGCACCAACTGGACGTCCTACAGTTAAGCTCTCGGCAGTCCCTATGTGGGGCTGGGCAGACCCTGCAGGTGGCCTCAGACCTTCAAGATGCCGGTTGCAAAGTCACAAGTGGGAGACCCACACTTCCTCCAACTTGGCTGTAAATCAGGGCATCCGAGACCCCCTCCTCGGGTTGGATGGTCTGCCGAGCCAGGCACAGCCTCTGGAAGCACCTCACGTTGAAGGGTTTATGATAAAGGTACAGGGACACATGAACCGCCAGAAGGAGGCACAGAGGGCGAGGTCCCAAAGGTGCCGAGCACAGCGGCCCGGTCCCTGTGGAGCTGGGCTGTGCCTTCCTCCCCACATGGAGGTCCAGGAGCCCAGAACGCCCCAGACGTTAGGGACTTTGCTCTCCCCACACAGGCAAGACCCATCGCTGCCTCCTCCGGCCTCAGGAAAAGTGGGGGCCGAGGGCTCCAAGTGTCCCACTGTGGCTCTGTCTTCCTGGAGAGCAGTCCCGTCCAGGGGCCACCAAGAGCTAACTCGGAGAGCAGAAGGTGCTCGGTGTCCAGGGGTCTCCCAGGGATGTAGGGCACTGCATCAGGAGCTGGGGCCCAAGACCAAATGTTAGGACAGAGCTACTTCTGTTACTCAGATCGTCGGGGTTTCGGAGCAGCGTGTCAGGAGCTGGGGCGCAGAGCAAACCTGCTTTTTACCATGTTACAGTCGTATCCCTGCCTGCTCTGTTGGAAAAGATAGGCATATAAAAAAACAGCCCCAATCTCGCTGCCCAGAGACCCCATTAGCATTGTTAAAATGCGCGGAGTAACTCATGCACATAATTAGAAAACTCAAATTATTCTGAAATGTAAAGGTTGAAAGGGAGGCAGCCGCCCCAGCTCTGCTCCCTGAGGTGCCGCGGGTTCCAGAAGCTCCCCCTCTGCACTTAGGAGCAGCAGCACCCTAACACACGCCCCGAGGGCTGCTGGCCTGGCGCTGCTGCTTGCTCTCTCCCTAACACGCTGTTCCCCGGGAGTGCTGCCAGTGCCCGGGCCCACACGCCCTGCGAGACAGGGAACAGTTAGCATCTGGTGACCACGGGCACCAGCTCACCCAGCAAGGCTCAGTGGGTGAACTGTTGCTCTCTCCAGCTATGGCCTGTTTTGCTGGGCACGGCATCACAGGAGGGAAGTCCCGTCCAGAGGGCAGACCCTCAGAAATGGGGTGCTGCATCCAGGGGGGTTGCCATTCCTGGCGCCTGGAGAGGCCTGCCTACCTAACCCCAGCCACGGAGACACTCCCTTTGCAGAGTTCAGGAGGTCTTTGGACAGCCTAGACACGACCCTACCTGTGCAGGGGGCAGTCTGGTGGCACCTAGGTGGCCCTGGGCACACTGCTGAGTGGAAGAGACAGTGCCCCCAGGCAGGGGCTCAGGCCCTGGTGCTGGCCACTTCTGACCACCAGGGGCTTGTGAAAGCTTGCCCCCCAGCTCAGCTGTGTTTTGGGGGCGTCTCCCCCAGGGCTGCAGCCTGCTCTTCACTGCTGGGCAGCTCATGCCTGTCCACTCTGCTCTCAGACCTGTGCTGTTCCACATTCGCACTCTGGGCTTCCAGGCCCCTCCTGCCCCCTGGCCCATGGTATGTCCCTGTCATCCTCCAACATTCCTGCAAGTTGAAGTCACTCCTTCCTCCCACAGAGGCCGCCCCGGACATGCCTCCTGCCTTCTCTGTGTGGGAGAGACCCGGAGCTGAGGAGGTGGAGCTCCAGTTTTGGGAAAGTGGACATGGAGATGGCCAGGCCCAGAAGGTGGCCTGGAGGGCGACGGGCCTGCGATTTCCCACGCAGCTGTGCCAAGGCCCTGCCCCGGCCCGGCCAGCGTGGCTCTTGTGCCTCTAATTTGCTCACTGCYGTGGGGGATGGGGGTCCCAGGCCCACTCAGCAAAATGGCCTCCAGTTCCCAGACAAGCACCTGGGGAAGGTCAAGGGCCTGAGGTGCACAGGTTAAAGGAGCCCCGTTCCTGGGCTCAGGGGACCTGGCTGCAGGATAGGCGCGACTGCTGGACCTGGTTACACTGGACCTAGAGCCCCTYCCCCCATCTTCTGTCCACCCTCTGCCTCCATTTCCCAAGGCGGCCGTCTGGCCCCATCCACCAGTTCACTCGTCTCTTGAGAGTGTTCACACACCCCAAGAGCTGGCCATAGCCCCTTCTCTGCCTGTGGCACTGACCCCTGCCCTTGTCTTGCAGGAGGAGGAGCAGGACTCGGACAGTGAGAAGGACCCTCCCCCAGCAGGGCCTGAGGACGAGGACGGTGAGTGGGACTCCCTTGAGCTGCAGTCTGCCCCTCCTGCAGGGCCCGATTAGGTCCAGGCCGTGCTGTGGGTACCCAGCGCTGGGGGTCTGAGGAGGGGGTGCCTGGGAATGATGGCCTGGCCAAAGCCCTGACCCCCTGCCGCCACCACCTCCCGGAGTTTTCTGTCTGTAATATGAGYGTGTGTGGGTCCAGAGGCCCTGGCTTCTGTCCTTCCTGTTTTTGTTCTTAGCACTGGGGACTGAACCCCGGGGCGCTTTGCCACTGAGCCACATCCCCAGCCCTTTCTATTTTTTGAGATGGGTGTCTCAATAAGTTGCTTACAGCTCTGCTAAGTTGCTGAGGCTGGCCTCAAATTTGTGATCCTCCTGCCTCAGCCTCCAGAGCCACGGGGATTTCAGGTGTGTACCACCTCACCCAGCTGACTCTATATTGCTGTTGTGTTTGGTTTTGTTTTTGTGGTGTTGGGGATAGAACCCAGGACCTTGCACAGCCTGGCAAGCCTCTACCATCTCCCCTGCCTCTCACGAGCAGGCTCAGTATGTCCCCTTTCTCTCCAAGTATCTCTGACCCATTTTGTCAAGACACAAACCACTCACAGGCCTCCCTTCTGCAGACAGAAGGCACGGGAGGGACCACCCCGCCTCTTAGTGGCTGGGGCTCCCTGGCCTCCCAGCCATGCCATTCGMGGCCGTGGACAGTCAGAACCAAGTGCGTGGGGATCCTGCTGATCGGCCACATTGCGTTTCTTTCCAAAAGAAGCTGAGCACAGACAGCAAAATGTCAGCACTTGCTACACCTGCACAGCGAGCAGGAGCCCGGAGGCCCTGTTGCTTTTCTGTGTTTTTGATATTTTATCATTTTAAACAGAGAAACTGGCTGTGTCTCCCCAGCTAGTGGGAGCGGTGGAAAGAGGGGGTTCAGGAATGTGGGGCTCAGTGAGCATCTGGCAGTGGGCGGGGGACCTCTGTCCCCACCAGGGAGGACCTCCTTCTCGGATGTGGGTCCTTCTGTATCATCTCCAATCAGGGACTCGCTGCAACTGGGCTCTCCGTGTGGGACCAGGCTTGTTAGTGATTTGGGGACACAGGCCCTTGGGCGTGCACAGGGGGAGGCCTGGCAGGCCACCTCACACACAAGCTCACCGTATTTGTCCCTGAGCCCTCCCTCCTTATCTGAGCTGCTGTCCCTGGCTAGCCCCTGTCCCCATGGCTTCCCACCCATGTCTCTAATGAAGCAGAGGGAAGGGGGCTGGCCACCCACTGTCAGGAAGCTCGGGTGGACACCCAGCCCCTCCGCAGCCAGCAGCTCAGCTCCCGGGGTTATTAGTTAGTGTCGCTAAAGTGGCTTCCTAAGCAACTCAGGGATTCCAACAGACTGGAAGACAGGCCCCCCAGCCCTCCCTGGGGCCTTCCACATCCAGCCCTCCTGATCTCACAGAATCAGACGCAGCTGTGTGTGGAGCCAGTCAGACCTGCCAGCAAGGCCAGCCGACCCTACGGGAGCGCCAGGCCGGCAGCTGCCTCGCGTTTCGGTTTTCTAAAACAGCAACGCAGTTGTGTTGAGGTTCACTGGTTTTATCAGTCGCCTCTGCTGGGTTCACACTGAGGGTTGGTGGCAAGTTCCGTCTGCAGCTGCAGCTGCTGTCACAAGGGCGACAGGACATACAGGCTTTGGGGGATAACCAGGGACCCAGGCCCCTTGCTCCTTCAGGATGATGGCAGTGGCTCAGGGTGGCTTCCAGATCCCTGGCCTCAAGAAGCCCCAATTCCAGGGACCCCGGAAGCTTCTGATGCTCGGTACCTTCTGTGGGCAAGCAGAGCACGAGGGGAGAGCCAGCTGATGGGCAGGAGGCAGGGCGGCCTGCCCTCTCTGCTCAGTCCACAGGGCTCCCCGGAAACCTGGCCCCAGCTCACCYCACCTCCTTGCCTCTCCCACACACACAGCCTCCTGTGTCATCCCCTCCCCCCCCGCCTTTTGCTCCTGCCACCATGCTTTGTCAGGTCTTCCAGGCAGACTCCTGGGCCGTCTCCACCACACACCCCCAGCTCCCTCTCCCAGCCTCGCCTGATTAGCCCTCCCCACCTATGTTGTCCTCTGCAGAGCATTTGGGACCAACTGCAAAAAAGTTGTTTTCATCCAGGGGTTGAACCCAGGGCTGCTTAACTACTGAGCCACACCCCCAGCCCTTTTATTTTTTATTTCAAGACGGGGTCTCCCAGAGTTGCTTAGGGCCTCGCTGAGTTGCTGAGGCTGGCTTTGAACTCATGACCCTCCTGCCTCAGCCTCCCGAGCTGCTGGGATCACAGGAGTGGGCCTTGGCGTCCAGCTAAATCATGTCTTTTAATTACATGTATTTGTTTGCTGGGTGTCTCTGCGGTCTCCCCAGCACCTGGAATTGTGCTCTTTGAGTATTTGTGGACAGAGTGAAGAGCAAAGTAATCCTTGTACACAGGTAGCGACTGCTCCCCGAGGAAAGCACCCGCCCTGGGCAGCCGGCGGGGCAGGGGTGTCCCACAGGAGCCCCCAGCCTCTCCTCCTGGGCCAGGGTTTGATGAAGGAAATAGCCCTGCAGAGTGCTCAGGGCCTGGACCAACATCCAGAACTTTCTTCTCTCCGCCCAGAGGGTGCCCTAATCCGAGAGCCTTTCCTTCCCTTGTGCCCACATCCACCCACCTGCTGACATATGCCGGCCACCACTGGGAAGAGACAGCAGTGACCTGGGTTGTCCTGCTGTGGGACAGAAGAGGAACCACCTGACATTGCAGGGACAGCGGGACACACTTGTAGAGTAGCAGCTGGGGAGAGAAGCCTCTGCGAGCTGCTCCCCCACCCAGTCCTTTAGGTGTTGATGGAAATTAGAGGTGACAACTGCGGGCCACCCCAGCTCTCCAGTCAGTCTGGGGTCCAGGCAGCTTCCTTCATAGGATACTTAGCTTTCCTCTCTTGCTGCACCCTCGCCTCCTCTAGCCTGCCTTCACCCCRTGTCACATGTCCAGACCCTGTGCCCCCAGACCTGGATGGCTGCCCTTGTCTGCAGGCAGCTGTGGGTGTGCCCTTCCAGACACAGCTGCCCCCACATCACCGCCACGGGGGGGGGGGCCCAGTTGTGTTTCTAGGTCTCTAATAACTGTGGGGGAGGGCTGGGAGAACGTGCTTGGCTGGCACTCCCAAGCCCAGGAGGGCAGGTCCCCGCGGCCCTCCTGGCACCGCTGCTTCCTGAGGTGAGCCATGGCCGCCTGTCAGCAGCTGCTGCCCGATGGCTGGGCAGCGTCCCTGGGCGTGGAGGTGAGGTTGAGGGAAAGCCCTGCAGTGGGCGGCTTGGCAGGAACTCTTCACCAGAGAGGGACAGACCCAGCTCGGTGGCTGGCTCCACCGGCCTGTGGGACATGCCGCCCCAGGTGGGGAGGGCAGTTCTCTCTGGCTGTTCTGTTTTCATCTTGTCCCCATTTCCAGGGCGAGGTGGCAGGATTTCATGGAGGAGTGAGATGGGCTTAAGTGTGGGTGCTGGGGAGAGAGGACAGTGTTGCTGAGTGTCCACCCTGAGACTGGGCTGGCCGGGGCTTGTGCACGCTGCCCCTCTTTAACGGGGCTTCTCTGACTGAAGTGTGGCTTTTCAAACTAATAAGGGGGGGGAACAACCTGGGCTGGGGGCCCTCCTTGGACCCACCAGGCTCTTATCAGTGCCCCTCGTCCCCACAGGAGAGACCTTCTCCTTTAAGTACAGCCCTGGGCAGCTGAGAGGAAACCAGTATAAGAAGATGATGACCAAAGAAGAGCTGGAGGAGGAGCAGAGGTAGGCAGGGCCCCTCCTGGCACGGCTCGCCCTGGGGAGGCTCCTGGGACCCGGAGGGGGCAGCCTCCGAGCCACGCCCCCGCGGAGCCTCTCCCCTCTTAGTTTGGGGGTCTTTCGGGTCTTGGTAGTTTTCAGCCTGGTGGGAAGCGGAGGGCTGGAGCCCCTTGGCTTCTATTCTTCCTTCCCCACCACCATATGAAAAAACAAATGAGATGTCAGGAAATGCCCAGAGCATGCCCAGCTGTCCCTGACGCGAGTCCACGACGAAGGCAATCCATCCCCGAGGCAGCTTCTTGGTGCTCCTCCTCTGTTCTGCTGCATGCGGCTGAGGGAGGCGCTGGGCCGCTTGTTTCTGGAATTGGGCTGCTGCACCCCCACCGCCCGCTGGGCTTCCCTCACGGCTTTCGGTCCACGCCATCCTGCCAGCGGCCACCTGTGTGCAGGGCGCCTCCGAGCCCTTTGGTTAATGAGCTGCTCCCTGTATGAGCCGGGGGACTGGCGGGGACCGGGCCCTCTGGTGGGAACTCCGCCCTCCCTGGCTGCTCCTGGGCCCGGCCTCCACCAGCATCAGGTTTGCTCTCCCACTTGGGCAGGAAGGCCCCGACGCTGGGAGCGAGGGCCTGGCCATGCAGGCCCAGGTGGGAGGGAGAGCCGCCTGGGAGCCCCCGACTCCTCCTTGGGCTCTGAGGACTGCCTCTTGACCCCGTTGCTGCCTTTATATTTCAGGATTGAGCTGACCTCTGACCTCACTTCCCTGTAGCAAGTTCCCTAGGTCCTGAGCCACAAATATTCTTGCAGATCCTTTTGGTAAGGAGAATGACTTCATAGACTAGGTGCCTCCCTCACACTGTCTGCTGATGTGTCCCCAACACCACTGACTGGTCTGAGCCCCCTCCCTGCTGCCTCATAACTGAATGACGCCTTCCTGTCCCCCTGAGCCCTCCTTCTTGTCTTGCCCAAGCAACTGCAGGCACAGAAGGCCCCTTTCCCAGGGGCAGAAGTTTCTGGAGGCCAATTAAGTCCCAGAGGGGCCAGGAGCCAGCTGATTGGGGTCCTAGTGCTCCTGGTGAGGTTGAGATCTCGGTGGCTATGGGACGTGGGTGTTGTGGTTCAGGCAAACCCTGAGGCTGGCTGGACATGCTCAGATTTGCCTGTGCTCCTCAGCCAGGGCAGCAGCTGGCCACTCCCTGTCCACGCACGCCCAGTGGTATTGGACTCAGCTGTGTCCACGTGTTTTCCGTGGTCTGCAGCCGCTTTGGAGCTCTCCTCTGCAGAGCTGAGAAGCCCGTGGCCCAGGAAGAGAGGGCTCGACACCTTGCCACTCTTGAAGGCCTCTGTGGATGCCACAGACAAAGCCACCGCTGTAGCCTGTGCTCGGGTCAATGCTCAGCGGGGACGTGAGCTCAGTGAGTGGGCCACAGGCCTCAGGCAGGGCCAGGCTGCCACTGCCACCGTGTTTGGAGCTGGGGCCTCAGAATCAGAGAGAGAATTATCTCTGAATTGTTTTCAAAGAGAGCAGCCCCCCCCCCCCACCATTTCCCAACAGGACTTTCCACAATTCAGACCCAGCTCTTCTGTGGGTTGGATATTGTGCCAAGGAGCTGCTCGTGGGCTGAGGGAGGGTCCCTGGCTCCTCATCTGCACAACGCAGCCGCCACTTTGTGCCCGGGTTGAGGAGGGGCTGGCGGAGGTCCTGGCGAGCTGGAGGTCCTGTTGGTCCCATTCCCACCCCTGCCCGCATGCTTCCTGCAGCTCGAATGCCTGCAGCATCCGCTTGCTCCCTGCATGTGGTCCCAGTGCACAGCTGCCCAGGCCCCCTGGGGCCACCCACCACTTCAGCTCCACACATGGTGATGCTTGGGGTTGCAGAGGCTGGTCAATTTGGCTCTGTCTTTTCATCTTCAGCACGATACCTCCCATGGGGTGAGGGAGCTGGTGGCTGCTAGACAGTCCTGGGGGCAGCCGAGTCAAGGGAACTGCCCTGGAATTGTCCTAGGAAATATAACACTCATGCTATCGGCAAACTGCTGAGACCAAGGCTGGCAAGCAGGATGCTCTCCTCGCCTGTCAAATTCTTCCCCACCAGACTCTGTGCCTCCTTCAGATTATGTTCCAGGCACTCAGGGTGCCCAGCAGAGGGGCAGCTGGTTAACAGGCAAATGCTGCAGCTCCCTGACTTCAATTGCCTCACCTCAGCTGCCATATCTGCACCTAGAGCCTAAATCTGTATCGGGTCCTGGTTCTGGCATTCCCCTGGTTCTGGCATGCTCACGGGATTTCAGGACATGGCAAGTAGGACAAGGAGCAGGAGGGCCCAAGAGAGTGCTCAGACACTTACTTGGACATCTGTGCCCTTGAAACTGCTCACAGATAAAACGCCCTCTACCCAGGGGCCAGCCAGTGGTCGGGTCTGTATATCCAGAGTGGCTGTGACTTAGACCCTGCTGTCCTGTCTGCTCATCTCCAGTCCCCTCTGGGTGGGACATACTCATGCTCTCCTGGCTTTGGCTCTGCCTCTGGGGGTGTTCCTTGGTTCCAGCCACAGCTTCCTGGGAGATGCCACCTCCAGCTCAGAGTGTGGCTGGGAGGGAAGGTTGGCTTGCAGGCTGGTGACAGCTCCCCAGGGCAAGAGGCCTCCTCCTCACCCCCAGAGCTGGTGAAGCGCAAGGCTTGGCTGGCTTTGTAACTTGGCAGGAAAAAGACCAAGCACAGCTGTCGGCTCTTTCTTAGTTCTTCCCACTGCTAGTCCCAGGGAAGAGTGGAAGCCAGCTCATATGTTCCAGGCACTCAGGGTGCTGGCACTGACAGATGGGCCCAGGCCCCATGCTCCTGCATCTGAAGGTCTGCAGGACTGTCCTGAATCTTCTGGAAACGGACAGGAGGGGTATCATGTAACATAGTGGGGAGGTGGAAGAGGTGGTGGGGGAACCAGGGCTGTGGGACTGTGATTCTTGTGCCTGGGAGCATCTAGGAGACCAAGGACAGACTTGGATTTCAAGAGTGAATTTCAACTTCTGCCTGAGATGCACAGACTCTGATCACCAGGAGATGGYGCCAAAGGCACATAATCAGATCCCTTGCAGATGCTCTGCGAACTCATTCCCAAGTGGCCCTGCTGGGGAAGCACTTCCTAGGGTGCCAACAGGCCAAGAAAGGACAAAACGCAGTCAGTGGCTATCAGGAAGATATCCCCTGGGGTAATAGGAAGGTGCTCACTTACCCATACAAAGATCAGCAAGCTGCTTTCTAGGCTTTGCAGAGGCAGAACATGCTCTCTTGGGGACTCACCAGGGCTCTGCCAGCTCTGGCCACCTTGCAGACTATCTTGCTGCAACTGATGAGAAGCAAAGTGCCAGGTGTTTGAGAAACCTGCGTCTAACACGCCTTCTGCAATTCCAAACATTCTCCTTCCTTGTCCCTCTGTCCCCCTTTCCCTGGTACTTGTAAGATGAAATGAGTAAAATGCATTATCTTTTTCTCCCTATTTCTCTTTACAGAACTGAAGAATAATGAAGTTATCCTTAGCCTCTTCCTGAAAGCTTTCCCTTTGGGCATCTTAAAAGTTTGAGAGATAAACATGGAAACCCCCATAAAGAAGCCCATGCAGGCTTCTGGGGTCACCTGCCTACAATTCTGCTGAGATATAAACCCCAATCAGAAATGCCTTTGGCAGATTATGGCAGGGTCCTTTGGAATTCCTTGGGTTCTGCCCTGTTTGGAGATTTTCCCCGTTTATGGTGGTCACTTGGTTAAGCTAAGGGGTTTTGAAAGATTGAGCTCACACCTTATTACCCAAGTTCACTTGCTATATGCCTTTGACACTTATGATATCACCAATTTTAGCAGCTCAGACATTTCTAAATTAGTTTATCCCAGCCCTCCTCCTTTCATCCATGTTGAAACCAAACCCCCAAAGACTCTGAGTAGTGATGACAGAGCCCAGCTCACCTATGCTCCCCCGCCCACCGTGCCCCTTTCCCTCAGAGCCCACGTCCTTGGTTCTCTGCCAGGTGTAAGAGACGCCGTGTTGACTCCAGGTGCTGAGAGCCAGGCCCTGGCTTCCCGGCTGCCCTTCTTTTTCAAACGGGGGACGGCCTGGCCCAGCCCTCTTGTCGATAAGAGGCCTTTTTACTGATGTTCTTACCAGCTCAGCAGAATCTCCACTTGTGCTTTGGCAGAAGCAATAATAACTGTGTTAGCTTAAAATAGACTTCTGGACTATGCCTTTTCCTAGTTTTCAGATAGACTTTACCAGAAAATTAGATCAGTCCCAAGGTGGTTTCTTGGAATTTTATATTTGACAATATTTATACTATAACAAACTAATCTGCAGTTCTTAGATTTGTTGGCTAAGACGTTTTACAGAAAAACTTTCCACGGGCGGAAGGCCAGGACGTCCAGTCCCAGCTTCAGGGTGTACGTTCCTATGGCCTTCCCTGGCCTGCCACCGTAGGTGCAGGACAGCAACAGAGCCACAGCCACAGTTGGTGCCTTCAGCACAGAGCCACGGACATGGGCAAGATGCCTCACAAGTCCCTACAGGGCAGTATCTAATACTCAGTAGGGACTGGCTCCTAGGCAGCACCGACGAGCACCCGACAGCCTGGCTCTCTGAACTCAGCCCTCACCCAGCCCAATAAACTTTGAGGATGTGATCTCAGTTATTGTGTGTTTTTTCGGTTTGCTTTGTTTTAAAAACATAATCTAAATAATCTCTTCGGAACTGGTTATTTTAACTCTTTCATTTTGAAGCCTTTACCCTGTTAAAAACACAACCGTCATAGCCACCAAAGCTACATGAAGTTGACTCTTGTCTGTTTGGGGAGATGTCCACATCTGACTGACCGTCCAAGGCACTCCGCCCCACCCTCCCTGTCAGTGCCTGGCACCTCTTTCCTTGTGCAGAAGTGTACGAAGTCCCTATGATAGGCCCCTTCCCAGAACTGACTAGAGATGCAAATTTCCCAGACAAAAGAGGCTGGGGTTTGGGATTGTGGTCATCCAACTGCTCAGGGGAAGAGACAGGGCTGAGGAGGGCAGGGTTATGGCAGAAGGAGTGTATTCTATAAGTGTAAGGCCAGGTCCAGAGACCACTCTGCAGGAGGCTGGTGGCCCAGAAGCTTGCTGAAGCCTGCACCCTGTAGCAGAACCCTTCCAGGGCAGGGCTGGGAGGTCCAGGCCTGAAGTATGGTTACATCCTCTCAAGGAGCCGGGCCAGTGGTGTGGAGGGCAGGGGCAGCAGAAGCCAGAATCTGGAGTAGACAGAACCAAGCTGCAGTGGCCATCCATGCTGGCAGGCAAGGGCAGCAGAACAAGAACCCCACGGTCCCGGCTCCTGCTCAGCCTCACCGGCCCTCGTGTTTGCCGTGGGAGTTGCCCCATGCTGGTCAGATGTGTGGCCGAGCCTCAGAAGATAACAGCACGGCTTGCAAACACTGAGGCTAATCTTCACCCTGCCCTCCCCTGGCAAGAGGGGCAGGGCCACTGCAGGCCATAGGGCATCTTGTGCAAGGTAGAAAAGGGAGGTCATAAAAAGAAAAGGCAGCGCTTTCCTGTGTAGGGAAATCCCGAGGGACGATGCCAGCTGCCCCTGCTGCTGCCCCCTGCCCAGCTCTCCTGCAGGCACATCTGGATGTGCCCGTTTCCCGACCAGCTGTCTTCCTTCCTCCTCTGTTGGCTCCCCCCAAACCAAGCTCTCCTTACCTAATGGAGCGGTTCTCTTCCTCCTTGCCTCTCTTTTGAGCTGCACAGTCAACCAGAAATTGAGGACCACAGGGAAACTGAGGACGGTGAACCTATGTGACACTTGGGGCCCCAGACCTCTGCAGCAAGCCTAAGACCTAGAATGCCTGCGTGGAGCAGYTGGAGCAAGCCAGCTCCTGCGTTTTAGGAGGGTTTGGTTTTAGTTTTTTCATTCTGAAAAAGCAAAGGCAGTGACCAAGGGGCGAGGTCAGTCCCACCCCACCAGCTGCTCCTGGTGGTCTCTCACCCCTTCCTGGGTTGGAAGCATCTTTTTCCTCTTGTCCTTTCTTCTCGACAGAGTTCAGAAAGAGCAGCTGGCTGCCATCTTCAAGCTCATGAAGGACAACAAGGAGACGTTTGGCGAGATGTCCGACGGTGACGTGCAGGAGCAGCTCCGGCTCTATGACATGTAGCCCTCACCGCAGACCAGGTCGCCAGCACCATGTGACACAGGGTGTCCTGGACACAGTGCCAGGCCGTTCCCTGACCCCTGGCCCACATATTTGCTACTTTCAGCCTTTTGTAGGCTTAACTTTGTCTTAGAAAGTAGGTGCAGATGTGCTCAGTTCTTGCCAGTTGTATATCATCTTAGAGGAGTCAGCCTTGTTTTCTTCCAAGGAAGAAACCCCTGACCCCTGTGGCTTCTGCTTGCTGGTGAGGTTCCTGCTGTCACATGGGTCATCTTCCAAGACAGTGCAGCCTCCCACCAGGCCCAGGCCAGTGGTCCCGGAGCGCTGACTCTAAGGCTCCACACTCAGCGCCCCGCACATGGTGTGGAGAGAATTCAGGGTGCTGTGGGGAAGACTCACAGCCGTTCCTGCTGCTGGGGTGTCTCCTCTAATAACACGACAAACAGCCTCGCTGTACCTTAGAAGGATTTCTGGAAGTTCCTGTCGTGTGGTCAGGCAGTAGGGGAGTGTGCTTAGGCAAAACAACGAATTCAAAGACCCAACTTTCACCCTGGGATCCCTGGGCTGAGACAGTGGTATTGGAATTAGTCTCCTCTAAGGGTTTCACTCATTGAGGCAGAAACTTACTTTAAATATAATTGAGACTCGAGAACACATAATACAGCCAGAACCGTACAGGACACTGCAGATAGACAGGAGGATAAAGTCTGCGACTTGGGGCTACGGATGTGGCTCAGATGTGGCTCCATGGGAGAGCACGTGCCCAGCGCAGGCCAGATGCCCAGCAGGATGTGGGGCTGCGGATGGGGTGCAGATGGGGCTCCGTGGGAGAGCTCATGCCCAGCGCAGGCCAGATGCCCAGCACTGCAGAAACACAAGGCAGCGTGCTCCCTGACACAAACACCCCTTTCCAGGCGGGGAGGCCTCTACAGAGAAGGAGACCCTTATCAGAAAGAGCTGGGAAGATGCCAAGTGATCCTACGGGAACCATGCCTGGGACACCAGAGGGAGCGCCTGGTTCCCGGAGGAGTGAATGTCGGTGATGATGGCGGGGCAGTGGTGGCTGCTTGGCGCCCAGGGGTCCTGCTTCTCACACTACTGGCAGGAACACGCGCAGCCCTGGAGCAGCTGAGTTACGGAGGGCATGCCAAGGAGCGGCTGAAAGCTCTCGGTTTCTTTATTTGTTAAAATAAAACTGATCTAGCACCTAAGTTCAAGGAGCAGCGCCATTTCACACACCCAGCTCAGTAGCCGTGGGAAGAGAGCTAACTTTCTCTTGTGCGCTCAGATGTGGCTCCATGGGAGAGCACATGTCCAGAAACTGGCCATTTTTCGGGGACCCTCTCCTGCTGTGCTTCTTCCCTTGCTTCTCTGCTGAGGGCGCAGGCTCCGAGCCGCCTGTTGGGGCCAACGCTGATGCTCCTCTTCAGTTACCTTGGTTTCATCATTAACGCTTTTTTCCTTTTAAAAACTTACTCTTATCTGTGTCTGTGAGTGCTTTCTTTTTTTTTTTTTAATAAATATTTGTTTTTATTTTATTTCAAATAATTTCTCAAATCAATAATATTACATTTTTTTTAAGGAGAGAGAGAGAGAGAGAGAGAGAGAGAGAGAGAATTTTTAATATTTATTTTTTAGTTCTTGGCGGACACAACATCTTTGTTGGTATGTGGTGCTGAGGATCGAACCCGGGCCGCACGCATGCCAGGCGAGCGCGCTACCGCTTGAGCCACATCCCCAGCCCTGTGAGTGCTTTCTATGACCTGGGAATCTTTGCTCCTTTTCAGGTCCCCTCCCCTGTCCCCCGACGCATGTCCCTGGCAGGGGAGGCTTAGGTTTCCCGCTCTCTCCCGAGGCTCTGCTGCCCCGTCCCCTCTCCTCCTCTCACTCTGGGCCCTTCTTTTCTGATTAGACCAAGCAGGAGTGCCTCCTGTGAGCGAGTCAAATCCTCATGGCTGGGGAAAAGCACCAGGAAGGAACTTTCTTACAGTTGTAGCACCTTAGATGCTCAACAGCAAAGAGAAAACTCCAGCTCAGCTGGTTAAATGAGAGGAGTCCACAGGAAGAGCAGCTGCTGGCCCAGGATGGTCAGCCTCCAGCTGCAGTTCCTCCCGCTCGGGGTCCCCGCCTTGTGGCTCTTGTTACCTACCAGCTTTCCTCATGGTGGCAACATGGCGTAGGAGGTCCAGAAGCAGGAGAAGGGCTACCTCTCGCTTGTCTCTAGGAACAGGAGACAAGATGCCTTTCCCACCTCTCTTCAGGACCCAACTGGTCAGAATACGTCATGTGCTCATGATTCCGCCTACCAGGGGGGGATGGGACCACTGTGGTTGGTTGACACCTGGAGCTTGGGGCTGGGGGCAGCATCCTCTGAACACATGACCATCCAGAGGGTCTACCAAACCATGGTTGCTAGACACTTTCAGGGTTTTCTTTCCTCCATCTCCACTCTGCCTCCATCACTGGACAGAATTAGCTGGCTGCTCACTTCCGGTACTAAGAATAGTCACCTTTTCTGGTGGCCATGTGGAAGTCACCCAAGCTGAGGGCGGTGTTGCCGTGAACTCCCATGCTCCTCCCCACCCCACCCTGGATCATCTGTACTGGTTTTCGATTTTTTTAAACTTGAAAATGTAAATAATTTTAGTAAGAACAAATGCTTTGAGGTCATCCTGTTCTTCCCAAGTTGATCATAATACCAAGTTGTCGTCCAAAGGACCTGCTTGTCCTTCGAGTACGACAAAGCCTGAGTTATACTCTGGGCAGCTCTCTGGGCCTGGAAGGAGGAGCACGTGACAGACTTCATGGGGAAGCATGGCCAGGTCTGGACAGAGCAGGCCTCGGGCCTTCTGAAGGCAACAGGGTCAGTCACGTGGAGCCAGGCACTGCTGAAAAGCAGCAGCGAGGGCTGCAAGACAGATGGCCCAGACAGACCCACAGCCATCAGCAGGCCTGGCATCCTGCCTGGCTCATGTCTAGCCTCCACTTCTCACCACAGGGAAAGTGGTCAATAAGCTGTTTCCCTTCTCCTCCCCTTGCAGCGGTGAGGGAGGGGCAGGGTGTTAGCCCATTCCATGACGTTGCCAGTTATAATACCCCTACCCTGAGGCGGGTCTTGGGGGTCTTTCTGGGTCTACTGCTGAGCCCCACAAAAATAATGGCCAATTGTCTCAGTTTTGTTTTGTTCTTGGTTTATTATTGTCATTATATCATCCTTAAAGAAAGAGGGACAATAAAACACCAGGTCCCTGAGCACCCCTCTCCATCTCCAAAACCCAAGGTAAGGGGACACTGACAGCAGGCCTGGGCAGGATGTCCAGACACCATCTGGAAGGAGCTGGCCTTCCCTCACGCACACCGGGAACCAAGGCSAGCCAGGTTATCTGTGGAAAGACGCTGCTCCCGAGCACCAGGGCGCTCGCTCCTTGGGACGCTGCTCAGACAAGCTCACAGAGCAAGCTGGTGACGATGCCGTCCCTGCTTCCGCAGCCTCACCAAAAACCCCTCAGTGCCCACAGGGCAGACCTGAGGGCACTGTGGCAAGGCTGCGCGTCCCTCACCCAGCTGGCCTCCATAGACACCACCACCATGAAGAGGAGGCCCTGCGGAGAGGAGGCCCTGCTGGGTGAAGCACCGTGGGGGGCAGAGGTGCTGTCTGTCTCCCTCCACTGGACCTTCCCCGTAACATTTCTCAGTAAAGCCCTGTGCCTCACGCATTGTCGAGGATAGGACTGCTTTCTTTGGTCTCTCGGCAACCTATCCCACTGCCCTGGCACAACTGGACCAGATGTGTGACACTTTTTTTTTTCCTTTTCTATTTTCCCTCGAGGACCTCCAGCACATTCTCCATCACCATCACCAACACCAACACCTCTTCTCTCCTAGAGTAACCAACTTTATCAGCTGGGCTTTATGCTTCCTGTGTTTCTTTCTGTTATGGTGAAAAGCCTGCAGAGACCTATCACTTAGAAAACCCTCCATCTTTCTCGTTCTTTTAAGTGCCCGAGCCCAGCGTACTCAGCCTTTCTACTCTTACACACATCTTGTTTCTAGTCTTTTGCTAACTCGGAAAACCCTGGGGGAACTCTGGGCCTGGCTGTCGGACATCTGTGGAAGTGGGTTTTCGGAGAGGGCTCCTCCTGAAATTGCGCCCCTTCCCAAGTCGTCCCGCGTGTCTGACGCTCTGCAATCGCGTGCTTCCTGCTTCGCAGCAGCCGCAGGACCAGCGCTGCCTGAAGAGGGGGAGAAGTCAAGGTCACGTGCCTGAGGAAGCCTTGGACCCTGGAGTCTGTAGGGCGTAAAAGACACCGAGGGCCAACGGGGAAGCGGACTCGCTGAGCCTGCCTGGTGCTCTGCTTGTCTCCAAGGCCACTTCTTCCCAGTGCTGCCAGACTTTCCTGGGTTTTTCCGATTTTTCAGTAACAGGGGTTTGCCAGGTCAAAGGTTGTTGAGGGCCACAGCCCAGTCGGGATGATGCATGGCATTTTTGCCAGAAGTAGTGGTTGAGAGGTGATGCCAGCAAGCCTTTAAGATGATGACTTTTGAGTTCTCCTGGAGTTCCTGATCCTGTTGAGCTCCCGTGGGATTCCTGAAGAGTTCCCATTGGTTGAGGAAGTGCTGGAGGAGGGATTTCCGGTTGGTGGTTCCTGGAGGAGCTGCCTGGCATTTGGGAGAGTTCCCAGGGAGCGTGTGTGGAGTGTGCTGGTGGAGTTCAGAAGTAAAGTCTGTTCCTGCTTCAGTGGCTGTGATTTGTGCCCAGCCAGACTGCGGCAGTCTCCAAGGCCGCTTCTTCCCAGTGCCACTTTCCYGGGTTTTTCTGGTTTTCAGTAACACAGGGGTTTGCAAGGCCAAAGGTCCCTCTGTGGGACAGCACCTATTTCTGCACCTTCCTTAACAGGAAACGTACATCTAGGACCTTGGCCTCTGACGGCCAGGCCCGTGAGCTCGGTGGTTGTCGTCTGCCTTCTTCCCACTCTGACGACTGGACGCCCCAAGCCAACGTTCAGAGGCCTGGTGCTCCTCTCCCCCGACCCGCTGTAAAACCGCCCGCTTTAGGGGACGACCAACTTGGGCTTTTCCCGAAAAGGCCCTTTCTGGATTGTCCGGCCGTCGCTGGGGCCAGCACCTACTCCTGCACCGGGGAGGGATGCCGCACTAGGAGACATCGGTCCACTCCGGGGAAGGCTGCCCAGTCGGGCCTTCCTGGAGCCACCACGCCAGCTGCGACACCGGCTCGTGGCGACCACGCGGACCCGAGCGCCCGCCCTCGGAGAGGCCGGCCCACCCCGCAGCGGCTCGCCACCTGCCCACCTGCCGGGAGGCCGAGACTGTCACTGGACACTGCCCTCTCCAGCCCGCCTCCGGCCACAGTGGAAAGGCCCGGATGGGCCACACCAAGGCCCACCCCGCTTTCTCTGTGACTGACAGGAGCCGCCGTCCAATCAGCAGCGCGGCCTGGCCGATCCCGCCCACAGCAGGCCCTCGCCAGCCCCGGCGCCACCGAGCTCGC